AAAGGTGGATGGATTAGGAAGCTTGCCTATTGAGGAAAGCATTGAAAGAGAAGTAGCGGTTGGTAAAAGGCTGGGCCTGTTTTTTGGGGTGGTGAGGAGTTTGCTAGAAGAGCCTTTGAGGAGTTTGAGAGATTGAGGAAAGAAGAAAGGTTGAAAAACAGAGGCTGGGGAAGGTGGCGAGATCTGGAACGAGGATGATGAAAGGCAAGAGGAATTGTTTGAGGGGCATGACTAGGGAGATGGTTTTTTCTTGATGCCATATTGGCTTCGGTGCAATTGGTGGCGTGTGGGAGTCTTTTGGGTTGAGAATTTTGGGATGCTTCTGTGGCTATCAATTGAGTCTGGTGGCTCTCTGGTTTTTCGAGTTCTTGTTTTGAGGCTGTTGTAAGCTTTTGTCAGTTGCTGGTCAACTCTTAAGTAGTGGTGTCTTTCCCTTGGGCGATATCTTATCACCTTTCTCATGTACTATTCTTTTTTGTTTTTTATTGATTTTTTTCTTTTACTATAAAAAACCCTTTTGGTTATCAGCTATTGCGTCCATATGTTAGACTCCTGAATCCTCTAAATCTCTTTTAATGATTCTAGCAGATGGCAGGTGCCAGCACCATATCTATGTGTCCATGGGGGTGCACATGTCATATCCATCCCCATTATTATTTTTTGATGATTAATGGAATGACTTTTATTCATTATAAAGGAAACTTTGCTGTCCAAAAATGGGTAGCAGGCGAAATACAAATACAGCAGCAAGCTGATAAGTCTTACTCAATTATTGTCATTAACCAGTGTTTGCAAGGTGATCCTAGGTCCCAGACATCCAGTCTTAAAGCTTCCCTAACTGAGAATCTTGATCTCCATGGGCCTCCTTTACTGTGCACTGCCAAGAGACTACCACTTGACTCCCTTTCTATGATTAAATCCTCCCCAGTTATTCATTTGTGCAAGCTTTAATCCTTGTATTATCACCATCAATTCTGCACTTAGGGATTCACCAAGTCCTGCTGGACCAGAGAAGCTAAACCTTACATGGCCTTCTTCATCCCTAATCACCCCACTGATACATGAAACACTGGGGTTATCCAGGCTACATCCATCACAATTTAATTGTAGCTGGCGGACTCTGGAGTTGGGTAATCCTACCATCTGAGCATAACAAAACTTCTTGTTTACTCTACAGTCTTGACCAAATTTCTATATCTCAAGATAGCAAATGGAGCATTTAATTAGATGGTTTGTGTTTGATTGAGCTTCTAAAATGCTCTATCTATTGGTCGGACACTTTGGATTACCTTGGCAACCCATTTCTTGTTATGGGGCTTAACCTACTATTTACTGACAAGATGCATAGCCTGTATCACTTATCAGTTTGTATGCATTGTGAGAATCCTATTAAGCTTTGTATATTTTGTAATAGTCTCTGGTATCCTTATCAAGTATGAAGGGATTTCTTCATAACAGACCCCTTTTCCTTTCAACATACAGAACAAGAATAGTGGTTTGTGATCATTTGGGGAGAATAATGTGGAATGATAACTTTGCCTAATTGTTATTTATAGATTTTATGGTTTTGCTGTCATCGTATCTCTTGCGGGATGGGAACCTCTTCCTCACCTGTTTCTTTTCTCTTATTAATAAATTTCACCTTCAAAAAAACAGAAATCCAAGAAGATGAGATTATCTTGTTTTCTTGGGTGTTGTATTGTCAGATTAGTAATAGAAATTAAGAGTAGATATTGGAGGGCAGAATGGGTAGAAGCTTAGAATATTGTGGTTACCATTCTTGATGGTGAAGGCCACCAGAAGTTTTGGGCAAATTTGCTCCCATTTTTGTGTGTTCCTTTATCTATTTTACTCTAATGGGCTCAGGATGCACTGGTGCAGAACAACTGAGAATTGAATCTGAGCATGTTGTAGCCTGTAGGTACTCCAATCAAGGATTTGGTTGCATGAGTTGGACATGTACCTGAGCCTTCACATGAGCTGTGTTTGTGTCAAGGCATATAGTGGCTGACTTCTGCCAGCTTGATCAACTTGAAAACTGTAAATATAGCGTCTAACTTTCTGGCTTGGGTCTGCTTGATGATCAACCTTACAAGTTGGATACTGTAAATATAGCATCTAACTTTCTGGATTGGGCCTGCTTGATGATCAACCTTACAAGTTTGATAGAGAACCGGAAATATTGCTTTCCTGGGGGTCCCCACATTGGACTGCCTGTTCAATAGAGTTGTTTCTTTACTGAGTTCTACCAGAAGTAGGAATTGAGAATGTTTTTATTTAGCTCTTCTAGGAAAATAAGATATAATATGAGCAGGAGCTTTATTTTATGATGAAATTTTCTTTTTCTTCTCTCTCTCTCTCTCTCCCTCTCCCTCTCTCTCTCTCCCTCTCTCTAATTTGGGTTGTAAGAATTAATTGTGGAGCTTCTGCCCCTATCTTTTCCTGTTCTTGTTTTTGCATTTTGCAAATTTATCTGTTCTATCTTGTGGTGTTGGTGGCACTGTCAAGAAAAGTATATGACGAAGTCCAAGTTTGTTAATAGTTTAAACCAACTTCTGTGAGCTATATCAACCCTGCAATCTCTCTACTACTTGGTCATGTTAATTTTAGCCACTAGTGCTACTCTAATTATCCAGCTCATTTTACTTTTTCCATTAATCGCAAGTGGTTGTCTCCATTTCTCTCTTAATGGCTACCAATCTACCAGCCCTAAAATGACTTTATTTCTTGTTACTAACCCTCTGGTCTCTTCTACTCCTTGTTCAACTATCAACAATATACACTCTTAACTCCAAGAATTTAATGCCTAAGAGCATGCAAAATAAGCAACAAACAATGATGCAATAAAATCTGAAGTTTTATCAATGTTCTCCTTGGTTGGCCTAAATTTTGTAAAACCTTGGTTTAAGCAATAAACAATGAAGTGAAGCAATAAAAAGATGAAGTTTCAACAATTTTCTCTTTGGTTCGCCTATGATCTGAAAATTGTAATCATATTGTAAATCAAAAGGGGCTTGAATCGAATTATATTGCTCAATGCACTCCACTAAGTTGCACATTGTATATGAAATAATGGTATAAATATGACTGCAACTTGGGCCGGGTTAGCCTGAAAAACCTGAAAAGTCAGGTTGGGTTGATGTTTGGGTTAGGGTTGACTTTTGTCAACCCAATTTCACTTTGGGTTGGGTTAGGGTTGACCTCTCAGGCAACCTGGCCCAACCTGAAATTGGCTCTTTTATTACTAATGTACATTTGTAATATGGTTCTATCTTAACTCTTACAAAAGTCATTGGTGATTTTCATTTTACGTAATTTTGATTTATTATATCTGATTTCATGTTCAGGATTTCAGATGTTTAATATTAGATCTCTTAGTTAAAGACTAGGAAAACTTTAGGTTGTGTTTGGTTTGAAGGAAAAGGTAGGGAAATCTATACAAAGTTTGTAAAGGTTTCCCTACCTTTCCCTACTTTTTCCTTCAAAACATAGCCTTAGAGATTTTACAAAATTTTAAGAGGGTGAGAGAAGGTCGGGCTGGGCCAGTGGGCCCAACCTGATCCCAAATTAAACTTTGGGTTGGGTTGGATTGGGTTATGGTTAAGGGATTTTAGGTTTGTTAGGGTTAGAATTTCCTGGGGGGGGGGGGGTTCAAAACTTTGGTTTGGGCTAGGTTTGACCCAATCCAACCCAGCCCGACTTGCACCCCTAGAGTGTAAAACAGTAGACATGTTACTTTAAAGCATTCTGATAGGGAGAAAATCTTGGCTGTTTGGAAAAAGCTTCCTGCACATGACATGTTTACTGAACTTAGTTCTCTATTTGTCTTTTTAATCGAAGAATATTGATTGCAATTAGTCTTTTACCCTACATGCTGTTTACATGTCATCCGCATGAAACTCGAACAAACCAGGCTATTTTTTCCAAACAACCAAACTTATCCCTCTGCTGGGATTGTACCATACCCCTGGGTTGCTTTTGTTGAAAAGCAAAATGTTTTTTTTTTTTTTTTTATGATAAATGGTTTCCAAGGGACTGGCAATTAGGGTTCGTTACGTGCTTAAAGTTTTGTTTTCAGAGTTTTCTTATCTTCCTCCTCTAGATGGATAGTTTGGGACAGAACCAGCAATTTCATAGATGTCATGTGGCATGTCAACTGAGCTATGGGATCACGCCTAATAAAGTTGATTATAGTGTTATTCTTTGCCATAAAGCTTGCTATTTGTTTTTTGATAAATCTATAGAAAAGGGGCTACACAGAACCCGGGGGCTGCAGAGTTGTGACGATACTCCAATTTGCCTTCTAATCTCTTGAGCAAAGACCTGCAATCCATGATTATTGACTTCACTCTCCATGGGGGATCCACATAGTTCTTTAGACAGTGACCTGCAATCCTCGATTATTGACTTCACTCTCCATGGGGGATCCACAGAACAAGTTTGGTATTGTCGTCAATAGTGATGTTCTTGTTAATGAAATTAAGGGCCACAGTGTGGGCTTTTCCATGCAGCCCATGCTTCGGCCACAAAGCTTACTATGCAATCTCTCTCTCTCTCTCCCCTCCTTCGGACTTGAAGATTGGGTTACTTTTTCAATTAATTGAAAGCAAACTATTGAAGTCTTCCTGTATATTATTTTCAGTGCTTTCATTTTGAGAATCAAGCTTGCCATCTTATCGTTGTTAGGACAGTTTTGTTTTACTGATATAAAATAACGCACAAGCACACACACACCCACACGTGCATACATATGTCCTCATGATGTAAAATCATCATTTTCATTGTTTTATTTTACCTACCTAGTCATCATCTTCACCAGCTATCATCATAATCATTATTCACTGGGGGTACAACTTCGGTGGGCTTGTGTTGAACATTACTAAAAATTTCAAGGGTCCTTGCCTGAGGGCCCGAGCCCGAAGGGTACCCAACTTGGACACCTATCATTATCATTTTGGGGTTGTATTTGACCATACTAACTGTTTTATGAATTTGTGCAGTGGACTAATGTACTGGACGTCTCATTGGGATTAGGTTGGTGAGACAGACAGCCTTCCATTTGACAGAGGCATGTACATCCTAGATGTCTAATTGGCGACAAAGAAATATCTCAATCTGTAATTCTTCCCGGTGCTTGAGAGGGGTAGTTTCCTGTAAATGTTTGTGTTCACGTCTTTGTGCCTGTTTGTAAACCCAATTATTCAAATGACCCTGTTGAAAACGACTCACTCTTATTGAATTTGACACTTGCGGTGATTCCTTGTAAAATTGGAATTCAATGGGGGTGCCTTGAAGATATTTGATTGGTCAAGTCATCCAGCTTTTTTGCCGTCTGACAAATTTTTGAACGATAAAATGATGGATCACTGTTTAGGTGTGTAAATGGCTGGGAAGTGGAATCCTGAATGATGCTAAACTTCTGAACTTGGAGCGTAAGGTAAGGTGTTTCTAGCTTGGGCCTTTGTCTTATTGAACACTGATCTCGACTGAAAGACCAGTCTGGTTCTGCATGACATCTAGGGATGGTGCCATGGATGTCTCTTCGGATCTATTCTAGTAGGCTTTCTGAAGATGGAAACCCCATGCGAGTTGGCAACTTGGAATGGATGCAGATGGCGGAAGGATATTAGGCAGCGTTACTAGGTTAGATTGGTCCAGTAAATTACTGGGTCTGGAGTTCTGGACCACTGGTCCACTGACAGGGTGGGGGCTGGGTTGGCATTACTGCCTCTGCCGACAGAGTTTGGATCTTCTCCTCACATCAACCTCATATCATGTTCCAGCTGCACATTGGGAACAAGGTTCAAAGTATCAGAATCGTCAAGTGTATCGGAAGACATATTGGAATGCGTCTCGGATATGCATGTATATCGGAGAAAAAATAAGATACGCTTGGAAATACTATAAATACTTTAATAAATCATAAAAATACATCAACAACACTAAATATAAGACTTCAATGAGATATATACACATTAAATTAATATATTTTAATTATTTTATGAAAAATATATTGTAGTTTTATAATTTCATTAAAAATCCTATATAATTTAATAAATTATAATTCTTAAGTTTTAATGTTTTATGGGATGGGAAAAACCCAACTCTCCTATCCAATCATAAAAATGCATTGGCACAACTTCTAAGTGAAAATATAATTAATAAATATTTATTATCTATTATTTATTTTTAAAAATTATAAAAAATAAATAAACATTATATAATATATTCAAAAAATAGTTATTAAAAAAAATTCAATTGCTTTGTGGATATGATAGATCATCCATAGAATTATAATATATTCAATCATTGTGATCAAATGATAAAATATAATTAATTAATTAATTACTTTTAATTCTAAAAAAATGAAAAAAAATTATTAAATAAGAAATTTCAATTGGTTTGTGGATATGATAGATCATTCATAGCATTATAATATATTCAATTGTTGCGATCAAATGATAAAATATAATTAATTATTATATATTTTTTAAATATAAAAATATAAAAAAATTAACAAAATAAAGAAGAAATTTCAATTGCTCTATGGATATGATAGATAAATCCATAGATCTAAAACATATTTAGTCTTTATAGGCAGAGAAAAAATTACATTTTCAATTTTTTTTTGTTAATTTATATTTCTCCAAATATCCTCATGAATTTTCCATAAATCTATTGATAACATAAAAAAAAGTTGTGATTTTGAATGTAAAAAATGTAGATCAACATAAATTTATACATTCAATAAAAAAAAGAAATCACAAGATATTATAAAAAATGAAAACATTTACTTGCTTTTTGCCATGTTTTTTTTTCAAAAATTAAAAAATATTCAAAAAATTAACGATTCACACATGTTTCTTGCAATTTTTTTTTTCCAAATCTAGCACTCTAGGAATGAGGTTTAGAGTTTTAGAGTCATTTGGGGGTGAAAGAATGTTTATTTCAGGAAAAAGAAGCTTGTTTTTCCCTTTATTTTTTTCCAGTTTTTGGCAATATCTTTGTTGTCAATATGCCCCCAATACTGGTCCGATATGCATGAAAAAAGGACAAAACGCCTGATTTCCATACGATACGATATGCCTCACATCGAGTGTATCGTGTCAAAATTTTAAACCTTGGGTAGGATGTGGTTGTGAGGTAGATGTGAATTCCGGACCCACCAATAGGGTGGGGCCTGGGTTGGCCTTGCTGCCTCTACTGATAGAGTTCGGATCTACTCCTCACACCGACCTCACATCATGTTCCAGCTGATCGGGAACATCCCCCGTAGTTGTATGTTATTATTCATGGGAGATGTTCCGAATGCATGGTAGGATGTATCTGTGAATAGATCCCAACTCTCGCTGACAAGCCAACTGGTTTGGTTGAGTAATTTTCCCAATGTTAAACGAACTCGGATTTAGTCCTCATAAAAGGAGATCACATCAGCACCCCACGGGGTGTGCCTCACGTGCACATCTCAGAGTGCGTTAGGCTCAATTTGGAAAGAGTACAAATGCAAATATGTATAGTGCAAATACACAGTAGTTCTTGAAAACAATGTAAATAAGTGTAAATGCAAATATGTAGAGTGTAAAATGGTTCATATAAATTGCAAAATTGGGTTAGTTTTGCACTGACAAATTTACCTTCTTACCAAATAGACTTTTAGCTATAATGGATGCAAACATGAGTTCTAATAAAGCATATGCTTTTTTTTTTAATCAAAAGTCCACTTGAATGCAAATTTGCCTCTTTTTTATTAATGTACTTTTACATTTATTATCAATATAAATATGCATTAGTCTATCATTTATCAATACATAAATGTAATATTTCCAAACACAGGCAAAAGTGAATTAGAATGCAAATTTACCCTGAAACGGGATTTACACTCCATTCACATTATTTCCAAATGCAGCCTTAGGAACATCTCCTGTACTAGTCATTGGGAGATGTTCCCAATACATAGATGGGATGTTGTGTGGGGAACTGATGTGCTCTCATAAAACTGTCCTCACAGGTCCTCATATTTCTTTAGCTGTGCATTGAGAAAATCTCCCCATTGGTAAAAACATGAGTATGGATATGTATTCAAGGTTTAAAATATCAAAAATGCATCAGGCCGTACCAATTGATACATGTTGTATTAGTGACCTCCCGATATGTCTTTACATTGGATGTTTTGGGGTCTGACCTGGTTCAAGGGGTAGACAGGCCTTACCCTCCTGAATCAGTTTGAAAAAAATAAAACCACAGGTTGATACAGGCTGATACGCCTCAGTCAGCATATTGGCCTGTATTGATATTTTGAACCTTAGAAGGCTGTGAGGACTGAATCTGAATTCATGTTAAACCTGTTATCTGTTGGGTCTGACTGGCTTAGCCTGTGCTGATCTATAACCCGGGCCTGGCCTGATAACCTTGATCAGCTGATGGAAGATTAAGAACTGGACCAAACTTGTGGCGGTCTAGTCAAGATCTTGTTATCTTCCCAGGCCTTCACATGATGTTCCTCTTGGGTCCTGACAAGTCTCATTATACTCGATTCTTTTGCTTATTATTTTGCACGTTCAAACGATTGCCCCGACCACGCTTCTGCAATCTGGGTCCGGTAACTTCTCCTGCATGTGGTATATGTTTGTCTTGGCTTCTCTCATTCTCTGCTGTGACAGTAAGCTTCATTAGTGGATGTTACGTGATGACGAAGGTTCCTCATTTCTATGTCTTCCGAATTATTGTTAGTTCTTCGAAGTTCTTACAGCCAAATGAAGTGTCAGAGCCTCAGAGGCTGGAGTCGGCATTGGGTTGAACTGGGCCATGCCCAACTTTGTCGAGGCTTGGGTTGGGATATGCCCATCAGAAACAGATCCCGAGTCCTGACCCACACAATTCATTAGTCATTACAAAGAACAAAAAACATAGAAATCTGAGCAATTAATTAGTACGTTCATCATGTTCTGGAGTAATGCTAGCGCTACAGCCTATAAGTGCCCTATTACTGCAGACAAGGCACTTTCTTGGGAGACTGTTTGCCTTTGGAGTTGAGCGGAGGAGGTGCAGCTCATGGTGAGCAAACCTAGCTCTGCAGCTCTGACACTGGGGCCTTGGCATTGACAACAATGACAAGCAGTCAGAGACTTGGAATGGGTATCAATTATCAGATTCCAGTATAAGCGTTACGTCCTGAACCAACAGTTTTTTGGGCAGAGATCTACCAAAAAAACAGAAAAAGGTTTCTGGAGATTGGAGAATGGTTAACCAAGCCGACCTTAGAAGGTTTCTGAGTTGGGTCCAGTCCAGGATTTCATTCTTCAATCAAATGGAACGACAAACATTTTATCCGTCACCTCCACTAATTGCTTCGTTACCCAACACAGATGGGATGATTAGCATGAAAAACCTAAGGCCCCGTTTGGTTTAGGAGAATAGGGGTCTGGGTTATTTCGATTTTAACTTGTTGATTGAGTGGAATTAGAATCTCATTTCTATTCTTGCTAAAATGGTATTTCTCCATTTGAGAGAATAGTTATTTCTTACTTTTTCTTTGAAAATAAAATTTCATTCCTACTAATTCCAATTATCATTCTTATTTCTATTTGAACCAAACAGATTATACAAACAAATGATATCAATTCCAATTCCAAAAATTTTCGATTTCGATTCCGATTCTAAATGCAAAAGAAACGGACCCTAATGTCATAACTAAGCAAGCTCTTTGATACACCATGTGCCGATGACCCTAGTAATTCAATTGATTAATCAATGTCCCTCCGTTTGAGGTAGTAGTGTGGGTTCAAATCATGGAAAGGCAGCCTTGTCACCACTAACCCACCAACCTCGCTAACTGGGTCTGGTGTAGTATATCACCTTAAAAATTTGGCTGTTTACATTCGTCAACCTGTACCATCCAAAGAGCTCTCTGCCTCTCCCTGTGCCACACGTTGACTTACATGAACTTCAAGCAACAACAGTAACAGTGCTAAGGGGATGGCTATTGGCTATATAGTTTAATGTGTCATCTAGGGGGGAGAGCCTGTGGGCAGCCAAAATTTTTTCAGCTCCTCGTGTACCCAAAAGATGGACACACTGTGTGTTGACATGGATAACACATCTGTTGCAACCGTGACCACAACACTCCCTTGCAACCCACCCTCCAATGAAACATGGATATCCTTTAATTTCAATGCGTTTGAGTTTCATTGGAGGGTTGTAAGGCTCCGTTTGGTTATGGGAATAGGGGTCTGGAATCAGAATTAGAATGGACTGTCCCGATTCCAACTGTTTAATTGGGTGGAATTGGAATCCTATTTTCATTTCTGCTAGAATAACATTTCTCATTTGAGGTTTGAGGGAATGGTCATTCCCTGCCCCTCCCTTGAGAATGCAATCCCATTCCTGCTGATTCTAATTCCCATTCTCATTCCTGTTTGAACCAAACGGAATATGGGAATAGACCATTCTAATTCTGATTCTAAATCCAACTACAAACCAAACAGACCCTGAGAGAGGACTGAGACCATGGTTTATGATGAAAATAAAAAAAGGCATTTGATAGATGTGAACTCTATTCGTATTTCGTTGTGAACCATCGACTGTAAATGGTGTTCCTTTAAATAAGTTCTTTCCTTAATAACCTAGTGGTGGTTTAGGTTGCTAATGCTGTCCATTAACTTTGTTTTATTCTATTTTTTCTTTTCTGCTTCTGGGATGATAGGAGGTTCTTGCTACTTTCCATATCTAGACCTTCCATTCTCTCTCTCTCTCTCTGTTCTGCACTAACATAATCTTCCTTGCACGTCATGTGCATGTGAATAAGGAAACAGAAAAGTCGTGAAGATAAAGTCCCACTAATCCTTCTTTTAGGCATTCCAGATTGGCCAATTACAGGAATCCACAATCCTCTGATACATCTACTCATCTTCAACAAACATGCATGTGAAGACATTTAAAGAAGTTTCTTTGTTGCAACCACGCTTCTCTCTTTGATGAGATCACATCTATTGGATTGCAGACACATTTAATGGTAGTTTTGAGGGGAAGTTCTTTAGTCAATCAATCTTCTGTTCTTATTTTCAATGAAATCAAATACAGCCAAAACAAACACAAAATTAAAAGAAACTATGAATTTTTAAAGGCAAATTCAGCAAAGAGTGAACCGTCTTGTTGGTTGAGCAGACTCGGTGACACTTGAGGAACAAAGAATCTACAGAAATATCTACTCTGAGCCTCTGAAGATTACTTGGGGAAGCACTCCAGAGCAAAATTTGCCAGTTTAGTTTAATAGAAAGCAGGTTTGATGAGCTCCACTTTAACAATCCAGGAATCTTCCACGTGGCAAACTAATTTAGAGCTTAAAACAAGTCACACACTCAAAGAATCTTCCATCTTCCACATTAATTTGAGATGGTTTTCAACTTGGGGCGGTTGGACCACTCAACCACAAAAATGGGTTTGATGGTTTGATACAGAATGCAGCTGGTTGGTTGACAGTGATCCAACTTGCTGAGTGCTGACCTGCTGAGGCACCCAACAAGAAAACAGAAACTACATTCAAATCTTAATACCTCTACTCAAACAGAGGGGTTCTTTGGCAACCAACCACACTAGAATCATCCCAACCCTGAACCCAACTACCCACTCAAGAATCTCTCAAGGGTATTTCAGAGAAACTGCATGAGAATTTGAAATTTCTACTATTCCAGGGCACATACACACACAAACAGAGAAGCCGTGCCGACCTCTAAAGATTAGTTTATAGAAGAAAGAGTTCACAAGGAATAGAAAAGGAAAAGAATGGACGAAGAGAGGAAGAAACCATTGCCAGACAAACAGTGTATGTGCTTGTGTGAATGATTGTGAGTCCGAGTGTCTGCTCTCAAAGTATTATTAAAATTTTGTCTGAAAGCCTCTGAAGAGTGCAAGTTCGTCAACAATAACAAACTTAAATGGGTTTTCTTACACAACACGACATTTCTTCCCTTGTCTCACGCTGGCCTGAACGTGCAGCTTGTCCTGAGCTATACTGACCTCACTTTCCTCTCTTCCCATTTCAAAATTCCTTTTCCTTCCACCGAAAGCACTCTTGAATCAACGTGGATCCGAAAAAAAAAAGCATTATAATCAAGACAGAAAGAGTAAAAAAGTTTCTTTGCTGAATGCTAACTCTGAGTTTCCTTCCATTTTCAATCTAAATAAATAACAATTCACATTTCAATGTAAAGTAAATAAGACCCAAAATCCCCAAAATTTCTTTCATACAGTGGGAGAAGGGTAATCCCATTTCTTTTGCTCCATTTTCTTCCCTCTTCAAAACAAACCAAATTCCTTGCTTTGGAGAGTGGAGCTGAAGCTGTAAAAATTTGGGTTTCCCAGAAAAACAGAGATGGGTATACGAGGAGAAGGGGAGCTTCCTCATCTCAGACGCTCAAGCTATCCACTCCACATTGCTTGTATGTCAGTGACTGCTTCCTTGGACTGATCACTATTGCACAATCCACTGCAACCTGTCACCACAGACCCATTGACCTTATTATTGTTTCTTCATTAAAAAACCACCGATAATATGACTTTTAACTAGCTCTAAGCATCCCCATCAATGGAGGAGCCTAAAAAATGACTTAACAACATGAGACAAACAAACCCAATTCCCCCATCTTACCACCTCTGCAAGAGGGCGCATGTTAGCATGATTAGGCAAGATGGGTGTGCCGCTATTGGTTTTTCAGAGAAAGAAACTTTCAACAGTGAACTTTAGTAGCATTTAGGCAAAGCGGGAGGGTGGAAGGATGTATTAAAGAATGTGAATGTGAAGCATTTAGCACAGAGAAGAGGAGAACAGGTGAGAGAAGAGAAAGCGGGACTGAAAGAGAGGTGACTGGTAAGTGCTTACCTGAACCCTGGGCGAAGTGATATCCAAAATCCGGATCTTCGCCCCAACATCACCAGTAATCCTGAGCTCAACCCGGTCATTAAGAGAGGCATCTTTCACCAAATCAGCGGCGTTCGCCGGAAGCAAGTTGACTCTGTCGACACCCACGGTGGTCTCCACCTGCCTGACACTGTGCGCCGGCTGATAAAACCCCGGCACCGTCGCCACACCGAGCGGCACCCCTTTGTACATCACGTAGAACCGCGACTCACTGTACTTGATGCCCACCTTGTTCGGGTTCACCGCCGTGAACAACATCCTTATGCTGAGTGTCAGCGACGCCCCCGTCGTCGTAGGCGACGGGCCGGTCGTTATGCCCACGTACTGGACGGCGACCTGCTGGAGATCGAACTGGGGCTTCTTGGGTTTCAAGGCGAGGACGATTATGAGGACCACGGCGAGGACGAGGAGGGCGAGGAAGGTCATGAGCAGGAAGAGGCAGCAACAGCAGCCCTTGAAGGAGGCGGCCGACGAGGATCTGGGGTAGTAGTAGTCGTCTTGGAGGTAGCGCCGCTGCTGGGGGTGGTGGTGGTGGCCGGAAGAGGGGTGGGGATGGTGGTTCTGGTTGTTTTGGGATGAGCCGGGACCGGGTGGGTGTGCGGTGTGCTCACCATTCATGTTAGCCCTTGTAGCCATGGTATGCTACCGTGCGCAGGCTGAACTTCTCTCAGCAATTGAGACAGGCCCCCTCCCCCCTCTCTTCCCCCCTTTTCTTCTTCCCCAAAGAGAGTGAGAGCAGGAGAGGGGAAGAAGGAAGAGATTTCTTTGGGCTTTGTAGCTTTTTTTTCCTTTCTGCTTTAATTAAAATATAAATAATAAAATAATTAAAAGTGGGGTAATAATGAAGTACTTTTGTCTGCATGGCCCTTATGATGGCCCTTAATCAAGACCATAGAAATGAGTGGGTCCCACACCCTGGGGCTCACTTGCTTAATGGCGTGATTCAGTGCTGCAGCCACAATGTAAATTGTAAGTGTCCTATGTTCTTTCCTTCAAAAGTGTAGTTTCTATGTGTACCGTACGTGGAGACTGGTGACAGTGAGAAGCACTAAAGCAGTAAGGCACCGCGCTTTGTTTGGCCGCCTGCTGCTTTTTGGATTTCTTTTTTTTTGAACGCTATTGCTGAAAAAAAAAAACAAAAGAAATGGAGGGCAAATCTGGAATGTTCCTAGGGTTATTATTTGATTAAAATGTTATTTATGGAAGAGTTTATGCTCTTCCTAACTCCTGAACCAATGAATGGTTCGCCAAAATTAGAAAAAAAAATACAAAAAGCTCAATAAGTAGTTCACAAAAATAAAAAAGAAGAGAAAAATTCCTTGAGTGGGACCACCAATGCCCATTTAAAAATTAAAATGGGGATCGTGCAACTCTTGACATCAATGATTGAGATGTTAAGAGTGGGATCCAATCACTTTCCAAGATCAAAATTTCCATTTTCTTTACTAATTTTAGGTAAATTTTATATTAACTATTAAAGGCCTATTTGGGACGGTTCTGCATTTGAGATCGGTTGCGAAGTTAATTAGAGTAATTTCCATGGTTTTTAAAACCGAACCGGTTAGGGGTTTGGTTATCGATTTGAACAGTTCGATCGTTTGATCCGAATGGTCGGCCCGTTCTGACAAAAAAATAAACAAATTTCAAAAACAGTCAAAACTGTTTGAACGGTTAACCGGCCAGTTCAGTGGTTGTTGATCAAAATCAACGATTTTGGGGGAAAAGGCGGGTTTGGGGAAAAACGGAACCAGTTAGGTGATCGATTCTCGGTTTTTCCGGTCTGACCGTTCGGTCCGGTCCGGTTTTGAAAACCATGGTAACTTCATGCTTATGATTCCAGCACATGGAATGCCCATTTGGATTTTTGAATTTTCATCAAAGCCCAATTCATAAGTTATTTATTTGGATAAATGCACTTATCTAGATAAGTGTTTTTCAAGAAAGAGTTATCTGGGTAAGTGCATTTATCCATATTATTTTATTTTTCATGTAAATAAGGCAATGGCCATTTTAGCTATATAAATCTATTATTACAATGAGCATTTTTGTCCCATTTAAGTGTTTACAACTTTTCCCTTAAATGAGAGAGTTATTTATTCATATAAGAGATGGGTATCACTTATCCGCCCAGCAAAATAAATTTTTCCTGATCTTCACTTAAATCTGAAAAAAAAAAAAAACATGAAATTCTTGATCAATAGGAATCAAAATTTCATTGACCAACTTTCCCCCTCTCAAAATTCAGAAAAAGAATGCCCTCCAATTACAAAATTTAATAAATGTAAACGTCTGAAAGGAGCTGCGACCCAAAAAATCCTCCCAAACAGGTATTAAATATAACTTAATAAATTGGAGGAAGAGAGGCTTGTTGGATTGAAGTTGAAGACTTGAAAGTACCCGATTCAATTACTATATCCACTTTGCTACAAACTGCAAAGCTGATCTAAGTAGTGAGTCAGCAACAAAATTCGCTTTTATCTACACAAGCTGTTATATTGTACAAAACCACTTTAAACCTAAAAGCGTTTTCTCAGGATTTTATTTGGATGTCCTTCGTACCCGGTTACCTACCCGCTTAAAGGGTTCGGGTACAAGTCAAACAAATCCTGGTCTAACCGGTTCAGGTTCCGGGTCAGCTGCTTGTTAGGTAGATGGGCCTGGAATGCTGTGAACAACAGTCAGCGCCTATTCTTGGGTTAGTAATTCTTTTAGTCAGTGGCACTTTTATCATGGCTAACGATCTTCTTTTCTTTTTCTTTTTTCTTCCTTTTCAGTCTTGGCAAGAGATTTGCTAGATCCAATGTTGTTAGACTTGAGTAGGGTGTAAAATTTATTGATGGCCCACTATCTGAGATAATCTCTCGACATCCCTTTGAATATGGAGGTAGGGGCGATCATTTGGTTTATTCAATTAATAAATTAAAATTTTAAAAACCAAATTAAAAAAAAATCAAACTAAATTGAAACCTGAATTTTATTTTGGTTTCGGTTATTTCATTATATTATATATTAATATATAGATATATAATATATAATATATTATATGTTATATTATATAAAAAAGTTTGGTTAATTCAATTAATCGAATTTTTAATTCTAAAAACCAAAACTTAAATTTTTGATTTCGTTTTTCGGTTTTAACAGAATAATACTCACCCCTATATGGAGGCATGAGATCAAACATGTGTAATTGCAGGCTCTTTCATGGTAAGGTCAGTAGACCTTCTATGTACCTTGCTCTATCCCCATCCATAAGGCTGCCTTTGGAAACGATGCAAATTAGTGTGAATGCAAATATGTAGAGTATAAAATGGTTCATATAAATTGTAAAGTTGGGTTAGTTTTGCACTGACAAATTTATCTTCTTACCAAACAGACTTTTAGCTGTAATGGACACAAACATGAATTTCAATAAAGCATATGCCTTTTTTTTTATCAAAAGCCCTCTTGAATGCAAATTTACTTCTTTTTTTATTGATGTACTTTTACATCTTGTTATCAATATAAATATGCATTGATCTATCATTTATCAATGCATAAATATAATGTTGCCAAACATGGACAAAAGTGAACCAGAGTGCAAATTTACCCTGAACTGGGATTTACACTCCATTTGCATCGTTTCCAACGCAGCCTAGAGCTATTTTACATCAAAATAAACTTGAAACAATAAATATTAGAGGTCATAATGCCTATAAATTTGACCAAGCCAACATTTCTAAGAACCGAATAACCCAAAATTTGTTTGAACTATCATTCCTGATTTCTTTCCAACCATCCAATCCAATCCAAATCTGACAATATTGGTTAGAATTTATTCCATTTTTTAGCTTCTAATCTTCCCTCTCTAGTAATCAGGCCATATATTGAGCAGACTGGCCATCTTTTGAGTAACGTTTTCCTGAGAATTGGATGGACCTTTTGTCAAGTAAAATTGTAGGGCTGAAGCAGATCTTGAAGGAGTCTAAACTAATTAGACCGATCATTAGATTTTTAGACCAAAATATATTTCGACAAAATAATTTAAAATTCATTATTTGCTTGAAATCTTTGTATTTATAATTTAACAATAGATATGATATTGAATAGAATAGAATGATAAAACAAGATTCATGTAGTTGATCTCCCATATATTCGGAATAAAGTTTGGATGTTGCTGACTTACTTAGAATCTTTCATATAGTTATAAGGCTTGGATGATGATGACGGCGACTTGTTTGAAATCTTTCAAGCAAAAAACTGTACCCCAAATATCTTTAAAGGAGTTCTATCAAATAGGACTCAGTCATGAGACAGAAGCAAAGCTTATGTCGCTCCAAGTATGGGGGAACTATTTCTTTTCTATTGTTTGTCAACCTTAGACAAATAAAGAGATGGATGGTCATTTTGTCTTGTTCTTTTGAAAGGGATATGTGGAATAAAGGCTTCAACCATTCAATAGGATTCACATGGGCGTTGTGGAGACAAAATTCATAATTAATTTTATCCATTTCTTACATAATCCCATCTTGAAAAGGACCTCTGGAATGCAGGGTCTCTGTATTCTATTATAGACTTAGGATTTTTTCTTTTTAATTTTCTATAACTTTTAAACAGGTGTTTCCCCCTCCCAGTCCAATGTTTGTATTGTTTACTAACTAATTGAAATCCTGCTTTTAGGTTTTGCTAACAATGTCTTTCAATTCAAGGCCAAACAGCCCCACATTGATCTATAGAAGATGTGGGCACAATCTAAACTAAGCAATAAGGACAGCAGTTAGAGCTTATAAAACCTAAAAAAAAGTTCAACAAAATGACCATGTGCTTACTTATTGTACTGCTCAGGCCTCCTGCCCACAAATTCTTCCCACATCCCTACGCACAAAAAATTACAGTTATGAATTGGGAATACCTTTCTTGTCATTCATAGAAAGTATTCTCATGCATGGTGGTAGTGTCTTGTGGATAGAGATGCGAGAAAGGATTGTGAGTAAGAGATCCCAAGTGTCTCAACTTTGCCCTATGGGATCTGGTCTCAAAGAGAAGAGATGTCTCAATTAAACATCCAATATGAAGTTGGTAAAAGGGCCATTATCTTTTCCAGCAATCGGAAGCCCTTAGAAGGATGAGTTGGACATAGATGATAGATCTAACCTGTGGTACCTTTTCTTTTCTTTTATCTTCACAAAATGACAGTTTTCAGACTTAAATCTGCATTCTCATGCTTGTCGGCCCGAGATTTTACCATTACACCAAGCAATCACATTTTCTTTGAATTGTTAATGAACTGACAATCAAATCCATCAGTTTACAGTTCATATTGGGTCCCAGTCATCCCATAGAGTTGGCAAGTGGTAGGTTGGGACCCCTTACATTTGTTTGAATGTTGGAAGTCTGTGCTTAAATTTACTTGCTGCTTTCCAGTCAAAGTGGTAACTCTTCAAGTATCTTATTAATGGCTCCATTTGAATAAGTTTTTGCTTTTGAGCTTTGGGCTGTGAGAAATAAAATCCGTTTGGAAGGTTGTTTTGAAGATTCAACTACTTTGAAGCACTTCAGATAAGCTACTCAAAGAGGCTGACTGACAGCCAGTTTTGGGCTTACCTTGGAAAGTCAGTAGCTAGCCACTACATTTTAGCCCTTTCAAATTGAGCCAAAAAGTGTTTTGAGCGTTTTGTAAGATTTGCTTTCAAAAGCAGAACAATCTAAAACCAAAAACACTTTTAAGCCTAGATAACAAAATAAGTCTTGGGAATTCGTGCGTTTGGGCTTTAAAAGCTTATCAAAATGCAACCTTAATCTCATCTGATAATTTCCTTGGTGAAATTTGGAGGCTTCCATTAGATGAAGACAGAAGCCAAAGGTTGGGGCTTACATTTTCCATGCTTCCATCGATTCCTGTGTCAAGGGAACCATATCCACAATGCATAGGTGCAGCTAAGGCATTTGAAAACCCAATTTTGTTCATTATCCTTGTTCCTCTTCTCTTCATTCATTGAGTTTTCTGGTATGGAGAATCTTAATTTGGTTACCGTAATTGCTCACCAACTATTCCTTGGGTTCATTATCCTTGTTCCTCTTGACGTTTTCATTTAGATCTTTTTGATAGATGTTCAACTCCTGTTACCTGGAGAGAGAGAGAATTTTGTAACTTTTGTCTGTATATGTGTGTAAGGATTCCATTTACTTCTACCTTCTATTTGTGGGATAAATTTTAGCTTAAAAACCCTTTGAGATGTTCAAAATAGGCTCTTCTTTATTAGCTATTTTTGAAATGAATTATTTAGAATGTTCAACAGCTAATATCTCATTCAAGGAAAACAACTATAAATGTTATTAAGACTCGGACCGGACTAAAAACTGAAATGTTTCATGGCTCCCAGTTTTATCAGTTAACTGGGCCTTGGCCCGTCCAACCTGCAAAAATCATTATTTAACCGGGACTAGAAAAGGCCATCAGTTCCTGGTTTTCATGGTCCGACCATCCAGTCCGAGTCGAGTCTTTAAAACACTGTTCTCAATTTCTTTTATCAAACATATTGTCAAATTTGAACAAAATAAAATAATCAGGAATCTCACTGGGTCATGGTGTTAAAGGTATGGCTGATGAAATCATCCAGTCCATAAAAACCAGCTAGTAATCAAGACCCATAAAGCTCTTCAGCCCATGATAACTATCTAATAATCAAAGCCCAAACAAGCTCACTGGGTCATGTAGTTACAGGTTGGATCATTCAGCCCATAAAAAACATCAAGTAATACGGACCCATAAATCTGTCCACCCACACTATACTCATTCTGTGAAAAGACAACTTGATGGCCATATAATACTCATTCAATGGGTAAATTAAATCAGTGGATTAGGGCATTTTTAATCTTTGAATCTAGACTCTTCATCTCCTCCATCTAAGTTAGGGCTCACATGGTAAGAAAAAGAAAAAAAAAAGGGACAAAAAGAAGGGATTTTATTATCCCTTAGTTTGACCTATTGCCTTGTAAGGCAATTAAAGTATCATTCCCTCAAAAGTAGACTACTGAAAAGGCTTCCTTTTTCCATGCCCTGAGAAAGCTAAAATGCTGGTTTCCATATATTACGTTAGGCAATCTGTATTCATTCAATGGACAAAAGCTTAGGTTGTCCACGGCAATCACATGGTCCCGTTTGTTTATCAATTGCCACGTGTAAAATGTTCTGGTGGTCAAGATCAAGATCTTCTTGAGATGAACCAGTCAGTAATCTTGTTACCCATTTAGGGCAACGCTTATATTAGCACTGTGTAGCGATTAAGGGGGGGATGGATCTCTTAGGGAAGGGGCCTCTATTTGTGCTGTGAGATGAGTTGAAGTTGCTGTAAGCTGTAAAGGAGATAGATACATGGAGAACTGCTGAAAGGTGTGTGTTTGCCACTAAGCAAGGAATAGCAAAATGGCTTTAGTGACTAAACACTTTGTAGCATCACCAGTCACCACCCATGACCCATCTCATGAAGTTCTCTTTACAGCTAAGGATGAGAGTAAGCTTCTATGATTCTGGATCTGCTGCACTTGTTTGTGTTGCATTTGTCATTCACTTTGGTTCAGTCTGTGACAGGTGTTTCCATTACATGTGTGGTGTATGTCCAAGTGTGGGACAAGTGCAGCAAATGCCCGCTGACTTTTGTAGAGGTGTTTGGTTCCGTTTACATTTATTCAGTAAACGTTTATTGACGGTGCCACATAGGCACCACTTTAGCATTTTCTCTCTCTTATTCTTCTACATGCATCGAAAATGAAAAAAAGTCAAATTTGGTTTTCATGCATGCCAGCCGTTTGTGGAAGTTATTTTTTAAAGCTTCTACAAACGGCCATGTGTTTTTTTACTGTTATGCTGATGTAGAGCCTGGTGGCGCCTAATTATCATAAACGGTTGTAATTATTGCACTTCTCGATTTTACCAGCAAGTAAAATACAAACATTTATTCAATGAACATAAATGGAACCAAACATATACTTAGCTACAACTGGTAGTAACATCTAAAGCTGCCTTTGGTTGCATGTAAGAGGGATACAAATTTTCTTAAAAGCTGTTTTGATTGTAGTGCAGATTTATTTGCACTGATACAAAACTATGGTAGTAAAAATGAAGTAAAATAAGACATTACAACCTGAAGCAGAATATCAGAATATGACCAATAAGTAAAACCCCAAAAACCAGAATCTGTGTTCTTTTCATTAACACTCCCATGCATTTGTACTAGTGCAAATAAAATTGAACTGCAACCAAACACAATATAATGTTTTTACTTGGAAAGAAAATATAAATAGTTGAGAAACATACAAATGGATTGAAGAAGAAAATATTCAAAGAATTGTTATTCCACAGCTATTTTCTGTGAAACTGAACACTGTCAAATAGAAATTTTGAAGAAATCAGTCATTTTTATGCAACCAAACAGAGCCTAATAAGTACATCTACAGAGAGAATTGCTAATCTGGTAGTATAGAGAACTAGAGAAGTCTAGTTGTCTAGGAGTCTTCCACACAGGTACATGATGGAGGGCCCAAAGAGGCCCCATATTAGCAAAGCAAAGCTACCACTTACTGCACTTTTTGGGGTCTAAATATAAGGATATTTGACAGTTCGAACATGCTTGATATCTATCTAAAACTGCTTTATTCTTTGTTGATTGGTTGATTTGTTCTCCTTTCCAGTTTCCTCCATGGCATGTCCTCTGCATTCAGCCAGCGGGGCTTTACTTCGCTTCTATCTGGTAGATGACAAGGCCATCTCAAAAGGCAAAGAGGCCTGGTCTTGTCATCCACGTGAAAAAACTGGAAGTCACCTACGACCAAGTCGTTATTGTCATCATCGTTGTCATTATCATCATCCAAGCTTTATCCAAATTATATGGAGTCGATTTCTTGACTCAAGTTTTAGAACTCGGTTTCTTTGACTAGGGACCATATCTATAGACCATGTGCGTCTTAATTATTCTGCCATGTCTTGGCCTTTCCCAAATAAGGGTGCAATTCGGGTGATGTCTCTTAAATTTATCTTTCAATGCCCATGTGTGTCTATAGACCCGGCTTAATGCATGGTCCTAGTACTACTTTTGATGGAGACCGGATCTGTTCAGGCGCCTCACACCAACCTCAACACACATCCTAATGACCATACCTATAGACCATGTGCGTCCTAGTCCTAATACATGGTCCTATAGACCAGGCTTATTCACGGGAGGTGTTCCCAATGCACGGTGGATGTGCCTGTGAAACACCCATGTGTGAAGAGCAGATTCCGTTCCCTTTTGATGATCCAGTCCAACCTGACCTTTGATCCACTTAATCTGTACTGTGGGGCATCTTGACTGAGGACCACTTAATCTGCATTGTCTGTCTATTGGTGATTTGGTGTTAGAGCAAATAAAGGCCAAAGAGACATCCCATCAGTCTGAGGAATTAACTCCTATGGCTGCGTTTGGAAACGATGCAAATTAGTGTGAATGCAAATATGTAGTGTAAAACAATTCATATAAATTGCAAAGTTGGGTTAGTTTTGCACCGACAAATTTACCTTCTTACCAAACAGACTTTTAGCTGTAATGGATGCAAACATGAATTTCAATAAAGCATATGCTTTTTTTTTTATCAAAAATCCTCTTGAATGCAAATTTACTTCTTTTTTATTGATGTACTTTTACATCTTATTATCAATGTAAATATGCATTAGTCTGTCATTTGTCAATGCATAAATGTAATGTTGCCAAACACAGGCAAAAGTGAACCAAATTGCAAATTTACCCTGAATTGGGATTTACACTCCATTTACATCGTTTCAAAACGCAGCTTATGCTTCTTCACATATTGTCCAGGTTTCATGATCTTACAGGCAGCACCATTCCATCATCATCGAGAGATTAGCATACTGCTTATGTTTTCACAGTATGGGCTTTGGGATCTGTCAAAACAAGAAGAAATTAATAAAGTTGGTGCCCAGGCCAAGCCGAAGCTGAAACCTTGGAAAACCGACCAAGCCCTAAGCCCATCTGGGCCAAACCAATCTGGTCTTGAAGAGGCTTCTTGATCGACCATTAAATCTAAAAAACACCCACATTTGAGGTTATGAGGGACGCTAGCCACATTGGCTGCAATTCTAGCTGAACTTCCAAATTACGGACAGTACCAAACCAAGAAATTACTAATTATTTACAATTTCCTGATTTGGGGACAACATATCTTGCAGCCTGTTTGGCCTACTGTCAAGTATTGGTCACTTGATGTAAATATGAAGCTGGTGACTAGATGGTTTAGGATAAATTAATCTAGATCCACTTATAAAAAGCTAGGATTATTAATATTACATGATATTTCCAGCTAATAATGTGCCTATACACCAGTGGGATCAGAATTGAAATTTATATGCTAACAAGACAATCAAACCACTAAACTACAAAAGTTTACATATGTTCAGGAAAGCACAAGCATTCTTGGCCAACAATAAAGCCTTAGCAAGAAATAAGATGAATTAATCTAACCATAACTCCCAAACGATATAATATAACATTGTAACAGCAAAAAAACAATCCATGGTCGGCTAGAATTCTAACATATATTACCAGCACTGAGCATGGACAGATTGTTATTGGTCTAGATTGTCAGGACTTGGACTGGTATTATCTGCTTCGGGCTTTGCTGCATCATCAACCTCAAGCACATCATCCATCATCATATCATCTTCTCCAACATTGATATCTTCAACATCCTCATCATCATTGTCAACTGTTCCAGGGATCTTCCTTGTTTTTGGTCCATGCTCGAGCCTGTGGGTCTCCAGCTCTTTGTCCATTGTCTCTTGCAGGTTCATATTGTTGTTTGCTTTTCGTGAATTCCTTGCATTTTGCCACCTTTGGAGTTCTGTTTCCACATTGGCGATATACTGTTCTGCTATTTGCTTCTGATACGTGGATAGCTCCTCCCTTCTGGCAGCTTTCCATTCTAGAAAAGCCTGACATGCAAATTTTGGAGGCATAATTAACCTAGGTTCAAGTTAGTCTTATTCAAACACCTCAAAGGGACCCTTTAATTTTTTTAAGGATAACAGTAACTTCATCCATTAAATATGAAAGAATTATGTACACACGTATTAGACAACCCGGATTTAGGTGATATGCCACCCAAACCTCAAGCAACAATGCACCACTACCCAATACAATCTCTCCCTACTGACACCCTGTTTGGCCAATGAATCAGCCATACCAAGGCATCCACTAAAATTCCAGCTTGGGTCCCATTACATTCAGTATTTGTCATTCTTCCTTGTAATCTTTGTGCAAGACCAATTCTTTTGCTGAAAGAAGGGCTGATGCCTTAGTTGCAATATTTAGAAGGTGAATGATCACAAATAGCAATTGGTCAATTGCGCAAAGATTGTCATAGTAGATATCTCTACGACTCCACTTGACAAAAATTTAAGTATATGGGCATTGATCAATGGTTAAAATTAAAGCAGCATCCCTAATGATACCATCCCATGGCTAAACCCAGTTATCACCTGTGAAGTCCACTAACCATGAATGAACATACTTGTACAGATATGTTATATTGAAAGGAAGTTAAAGGCAGTACCTGGCATTGTTTTTTGGTAAAAGGAGCCCTTATAAGGAACTCTAGCTAAGCCCTTGTTCAAAAAGGTTTTTTTGGTCAGTTTGTGACTTGACAGGTCTTCGACTGCCTATTGCCTTTAACACTCAGTTTTTGGTCAGGGTAAGAGATAAACTTTACCTAATATTTCAAGCTTTTTCCTCTCTGATATGGCATATGAGCAAGGGCTTTTCCTTCTGTCATTTGGCAGTAATGTATTTCAACTGCCTATGTTTGTAAACTCTGGTCAGGATGAGAAACTATAAAACCTTTCAGCTTATTCCAAGCAAGAAGCCAATAAAACCTTCTAAGCTATAACCTCAAGCAAAACCCAGCCTAACTTAACAGGGCAGTAGATCAAACCAGTAAACAAGCCAAGATGTAGTTGTAGCTTGGGAGATCTAGATCAAATAAAAACATGTCACTTCTGTATCATAGATGGCTCATGAAAACATCTTGAAAAGGCACTATTAATTCACAATTCACACCGAGCTCCCCTTCTATAGCAGAGGAGAAAAAAATGCACTATTAGTTTTACCTTTTCTTTACGCTCCTCAACTGAGGCTAGATCATCCTCCAAAGGTTTGGCAGGCAAATAAAATATTGGAGGCTCAGTCTTGGTCCTGATAAAAACACAGCCAGAAACAATCAAGAGTCAGAAATTACCAAAATAAAAAATTGTTGTTCTACCTATAATCCTGCAAAGAAGCAGGAGATGCCCAATTGCTTCGACATTATGCACATGAATAGAAACTTATCTTTGTCTCAATAAAATTGTGAATATGGATACTTTGGACCAAAATTAAAAATAACCTGCAGAAAGAAGAGCAAATTGTGCTTGTGAGGATGAGAAAAATATGCATCAAAGGTACAGCAAGAGGAAAGGGGAAATGCACTACTTTCAGAACCTTCCCAATTGTTTGTACCTTAGAAAATTGCTAAGATTTTTATGATGCTCACTCCACTGAAGGAACAGCAGCTCCAACTTCTTTTCTTCAGCCTTGGCAGCAACACGTGCTCGCAGAGTCTGTAGAAGATGATAAAGTGTTAAAAGAACAATGATGGGAGGGAGAAATTGATATTCCGTGCATTATCATAATAAATAACAACCAATTTTCAAGCTTGAAAGCAGAGATTAAACTAAGATGCAAGTCAAACAAGCAGACCAGATCCCGCTTTCGTTTTTCTGCAATTTGTTCGCGCTCCTGCTGCCGTAGTTTTTCACTTTCTTCACGTGCCCTTTGTTCAGCCTATGTATGGTTTAATAATTCAATCATCACCGAGGAAGTATAATTCCAGAGAATGGCCACAGAAATTTGGAGAAAATCAACATGTTTAAATTAAAATCATGCATCTTTAATTGAATATAGCTTCTAAACTATGATGCCCAGACATGGATACCAACACAGACCTCGACACAGGAAATAAAGACGTGACTCTCCATTTGCAAAGACTTCTGACATGGATATGGGTATTGTGGGGACACGCCTGACAGGTAATGGGTATTCTACTTACAGGATTGTATCAAGGTTTTCAACCCGCCATTGACCCCGCTGGTCGAACCATTCAAACCGTCACCCAACCAGGATTCTGGGTCCAGTTCAGTCAAGACCCATCAGACGGTCAAAAGCCATTGACTTGGTCAAGAACCATTCAACCCGGCCGGTTCGACCATTGACCCAGTGACTGAGTCGCGGGTTGCACACTCAATGCATGGTGCATCTTTTTTTTTAATTTTGGGGTAACTTTTCGAGATCTATGCATCCCAAGGAATCGTAGGCACCTTGCCCTGCTATTTTCACGAAAAAACCCTTTTTTGACCTCAAATTGCAATTTTTATAAATAAAAAAATTAAAAAACTGAATTGAAAAACATAAATTAAATATAAAGTAATACATATAACATACCTAAAACTTATTTATACATTATTTATTGCTAAAATATATATTTATACTTAATACATATATGCGCTGATGTGGAACGGTCTGAACCATTCGACCTGACTGGTTGAACCAGTGACCCATGACCCAGAGGCAAAAACAGTTTGGCCTCCGGGTCAGTTTTTAAAACATTGGATTGTGTCATGCTTTTTGTATGTAGTTCTTGCACAAAGTGTCCTTTGAAGTTTAAGCTTTCTAATATATACAATATTTTTGAATCATTGCCTATATGTTCTCCTAACAGCATTTACCAAATATGGTCCTTTATTTGTGGCCAATTGCAGAGCAACCCCAACATATAAAAAATACTCATCATGGTTTATCCATCCATCATAATAGAAATTTGCAGGATCAAAAGGTAAGGCTCAAAGCCTCAAAAAGCCATCTTGGCAACCAGGTCTCACAGCCCTCCCACAAAAGATAAAAAAAAAAAAAAACACAATTAAAAAGAAAATATAATATTTAAATATGGAAAACAATGTAGAACTAATACATCCACCCCAATGAACCCATTTTCAATTGCTTCCAAATTTATGCTTGTAGCATAATACAATTTTAGTCAATAGTTTTTTATAGATTAATTTTAGCTAGTTGATATAAAGGTTAAAACTTAACCAACACTCACTCTTTGTAATGAATTAGATCGACGCATATATGCCTCAGTTGCTGATAGATGCATGTCTTCTTTCTGGAATTTCTGAAACAACAAAAATGCATGTTAACAGTGAGACACTAAACAACAACATGACTCCAAGGTTCATACTTGGCAACAATATTTTGATATAATTAATTATATTGAGAAATTAGGAAATAAAGCCATTGGAACTAACATAGATATCTATAGTTACAAGAAGTTAAATACAAGAGAGATAAGCTTAAAGCCTTAAACCATAATGAGCTTCTATGTGTTTCATACAATGTTCTAAAAATCGTAATCATATCGTAAACCATGGAGAAAATTGAATTGAATCAAGTCGTGAATCATATTGTAAATCGTAAGATTATTTCTACTTTTTACAAATTTGTCAAAAAATTAAATATACATATGCTAAAAGGATAAATATATATAGAAAAGTGTTCTGCCCTATTTTTAAGTTATATCTACCATATATGTACTTAAAACAGTAGAATTTACCACTTATAGAATAGGAGTCTAACATGATATAGGTAGTGTTTGAGAACACTTAAAAGAAGTACTTCTTTTAAGATCTGGGACCACACATTAAGTGATTATTAAGTGGTTGTGTGTTTGGTAAAAAAGTGGGGAAGAAGTACTTTTTTTAAAGAAGTACTTTAAAAAAGTGACTTCAAGTTGGCCTTTTTTTAAGTACTTCTTGAAGAAGTACTCCAAAAAATGGGACAAACCAGTCCCTACTAATTTTTGTAATGCCTAAAATACCCCCACAAGGGTTATACCTCCTTATCCATTCATTCGAACATCAAACCCAGGTAGCAGCGCACTAGTTGCAAGTCCACCGGTGACGATCGATGGTCAGGAAAAGTGGTCGGCATACCTGTCGTTTGGCTACTTTCTTCTATTTTCTGAAGTTTTTTTCTCATTTAATCATTTTTTTTGTTTTTTTTTTTCTAACTTGAACTCCCTATTCTTTACAGATCTACACTTGAACTATCTATTTTTTTCGCAGATCTACACTTGAACTAACCAGCAACAAGAGGTTAGTTTTTTCTAGGTTTTCACAGATCTACACTTGAACCAATCCCTAATAATTTCGCAGATCTCACCGTTCCTCTTTTTTCTTCCTCAGTCCTCAGCCTTTCCACAGAGATCTAACTCTGGGATCACAAATCTGTTTTTTCTTCCTTAGTCATCATTTCTGTTCAATGCCACCACTCACCACTATTGCTGGTTTGAACCCGCCTCTGCAGTGACGATGATGAACAGGGAAAGGGAAAGAGTGAAGATTAAGAAGAAGAAAGAAAAAAGAAGAAGAAAGAGAGATGGTGTGGAGAAAAAAGTGAGATGAGAGATTGGAGGTGGAGATCGGAATGGATTCACCGCCGCCCTTGGTTTTGTGTCACGAGGAAGATGATGAACAGTGGATTTTGGGGGGGTTCTGAAGAACTAAAGGAAGAAGAAGTATGAGATGGAGAGGGAGGCCGGAGTATGAGATGGGTCTACATGGCAATTCATGTGTGGGTCCACGTGGACTCTCGGTTAAAATGTATAGCATAACATGTGATAAGCATTGTATATATGTATGAGTGAAGTGATGACTAAAATTGTCATTTGTGTCAATATAAGCACTTATGGGGAAAGTAGCTTACCAAACATCCCCACCCCAATAAGTGCTTAAAAACATAAAAAGTGATTTGGAAAGTGGGTTACCAAACAGCCTTAAGTGGTTGTTAAAACAAGTACTTCGCAACAAGTACTTCTAAGAAGTACTTGTTGCACAAGTACTTCTTTTAACAAGTACTTAATCATCAAACAGAGCCATAATCGAGTTTAACTTGAAAGTCAAATAATCCACATATAATGGCTTTTAATTCAACATATGATAGAAAAAAATTCAATATATGGATTTAAATAACATAAATAAATCAATTTCTAGTAAAGTCATTAAAACAAGTCACCATTGACAAAAACTAAATATAATCAAAACAAAATGACAAAGTAGAGAACTAATTATAATTTAATTGATTTTAATCACAATGAATTGTATAAATCATAAGATTTTTGCAGAAAATGATTCAGACATAAGATTCGACTTGAAACCCTTGGGATTCATGATTCAAATTGTAAAATCGTAAGATTTTAACATTGGTTTCATACTCATTTTATTTCCGTAGGAACATTGAGGAATATCCCTCTAGAACTGAAGAAACACATTTCCAACTCATGTTAGAGAATTGATTTCTATAAATAATTCCTTTAGTTCAAGTGCAATGAATATGGTCAGTTGCAAACTAATAAAGGGATAATGGTAATTTTCCTGCTTCTTTGAGGGTTGAAAATGAATTCATTATATTTTCTAAATATTGCTATAAATTTCCTCCTGCAACCAATGCTACCCTCATGATTAAGCTTGGTTGTGTTAGGATAATTAGCTTTTAATGTTATATCTTCAAAGTTCTAATCCCCTCTCAGAGAAACATTTGAACACCACTGAATGTATGCATAGTCATCTGCATGGTGCACTTGCTAGAGTATCTCAATCATCACCACCTAAGCCTTGTCCCAACCAATGTTGTAAGACTTGAACTGGACTAAAAACTGGGATACTTCATGGGTCCTGGTTTTGCTGGTTAACAGGGCGGTTCATGTGTCCAGCCCATAAAAAACTGTCAAAGCCATCATTTAACTGGGACCTAAAAAGGCCACCAGTTCCAGCTTTCACGGTTCCACCATCTGGGCTAGGCTTAGTGCCTTAGTCTTACAACACTGGCCCCAACCATTTGGGATAAGATATATGAATCCTGTTTAGCCATTCCATTATGTTCAGTGCCAATATCTATTGTTAAATTATGGGTGCTTAAATAATTTCTTACTACTTCCACCCAGGTGCCTTTAAGTCTGCTCCTAGGTCTTCTAACCCCCCTTCAACATGTAACAGTCTAACATATCACTTTTTCTAAAAGGTTTTCTAGATGGTCTTCTATGTTCTATGTAGGTAGAACATAGAACAATACCTACCAACTCCACAAACGCCATTTGTTTCCAAAGCAATTTTTAATCGTCCTAGAAGACACAGAACTACAAGTCTACAAAAACCACATGGATACCTCCAGTGTGCCCAAAAGCTGACCAAGCATTCTCCTGTTCCTATTTACCAAACGTGGGTCCTCGTCCTTCGGCAAAACCCTAGGAATCTGCTCTGTCGGAATATCCAAATCCTAAATACCCAACAACCAATAAATAAGGTTTTAGTACCCAAACATCAATCCATGATAAAGAATAAAAAAAAAAAAAACAAATTAAGAGTTCTCCAAGATACCGCATTAGCTGCCCTCCGATCTCTTCTAATTCCACCACGCTGATTCTGCAATTGGGGATTCAATGGCCTTCTATCTCTCTCATTCTCAGTGGCAGCATCGCCACCGCTGCCATCTTCTACAGCTGAAGCCTTCTCTTCCACATCCTTCTCTCCGCCTGTAGCCTCAACGACCTCTCCGTCCTCTATCTACATTATCCAACAAACTTTTTTGAACAAAAAACAATAACCAACATCAAAGTTTCGATTTTTTGGCATCCTAAGTGCAGAAGAGGATCCATACCTTGACAACAGCTGAAGAGAGTCTTCTTTTTGCAGGAGGCTGATCTTCAGAATCAACCCTATCGGCCTAAAAATTTGATGCACCGAAACCCAAATCAAACAAATTACAAATCCAAAGGCAAGTTGAAGCTAAGGAGAAGGGGAGAGGAGATGGGTGATTACCGGTCTGACAAATCCTCGACGTGCTGCTCCGCTGGTGCCGAAATTTCTGGGTCCATTGCCGACCCCTCGGCGAAGACCCCTAGGGTCACGAAGGCGCTCGGTGATCTGCAACATTGAAACAGATCAAATTCAGAAATCCTTAAGGAAATGTTGTACTCACGCATAGTGAGAAGAAAATGAACCTCCCACTGCTGACGGTGAAGCTCTTCGATCTCTTTACGGAGCTCCTCTGCAGTCTTCTCCACTGCAGTGCTCCCCATCGCTGTTTTTGCGTCCGGCGGCAACGCTAGACGAAGAAGAAAGACTCCCTCTTTTTCTTTCAGTGAAGAGAAGCAGAAAACATATAAACCCTCCCCTGCCAAGAGTTTTTGATTTCTGACGTCTAAACTGCTATGATTTCGAAGTAAATCTTACGGCCTTAAACCAATGTTTTAAAACCTGATCAGGAGGTCGACCCAGATGACGATTTATCAGTTCGACCATCTAACGGGTCAACTCGTTAAAAATAGGGAAATTTAGATTTCATTCCATTTCAGGGATTTTTAGACTGTACTCCACCTGATTTGAGTTGTAGATCTATAACAATTCAAATTTATAAACATTCATATCCGCCAATGAATTGACATCAATTCTGATGCACTACTCCCAACCGTATGGTGGAGATAGGATTTCAGAGGTGGACTGAACAGTATAAACCCCTTTTCTTTATTAGGCTTTCGGGTTTTATTTACCAACAACTCCACCTAACAATAGTGACCTTGTATCTTGCCACACTTTGTCCACTTCAAGGGTGGACAGTTTTGAGGAAATGTGGACTGATCATGTAGGCTTTGAAAGAGTATTGGATCAAGCCTGGAATCAAACTTAGATAAGATTAAATCAATGCAATTTCATACAAAAATCAAGGGTTCTAAGGAATAATTGGTGCAATGGAATAAAAACACTTTTGGTAATGCTCAAAATAAATCAATGAGTTAAGGGAAAGTTGGTTGGTGAATCCTGCAAGAAAGGTCATGATTTCAGTCATACTTATTAAAAATTAGAAAATGATTTAAAAAGTTTGGTTAAAGAAAGAGGAAATAATGTAGCATAAAAAATCTAGAGTGAATCAACTCCATTATGGTGACAAAATGCACTAGTTATTTCTACTCAATCGCCAAAGGTAGAAGAGCTAGAAACCATATTGAGGCTCTAAAAAAGAGCAATAGAGTCTGGCTACAAGATGAGGTAGAGATTGCAAGGGAATTGGAAAACCACTTTTAGGAAATTTACAAATCTTTTGATCCTAAAAATCCTAAAGATCTGTTGAAGTTCCTTCAATCTAAACTAGATGATAGTGATCGAGAGTTTTTAGACGTTGATGTTAGTGAACAAGAGATAAAGGAGGCTCTTTTCCAGATGGCTCCAAGAAAGTCTCCAAGTCCAAATGTGTATGCAAATTTACTTTTTCAAAAATATTGGGAAAAGTGGAGTAAGATGTGATAATGGCAGTTAGGCATTTTTTTTTTACAATTTAGAACACATTGTGAAGAATTTTAATGAAACATTTACAACTTTAATCCCTAAAATAAGGCACCTGAGATGGCTAGCCATTTTAGACCCATCAGCCTTTGCAACACAATCTATAAAGTAATATCAAAGGTAATTGTTAATAGAGTAAAACCATTGTTAGGGAAACTAATTAGTGTATCCAAGTGCTTTCACCTCGGGCAAGTTCATTCGGGATAATATTCTAGTGGCTCATGAAATTATTCACTTTATGAAGAAAACAAAAGAAAAAAAGAACTGATGGCTCTAAAGTTTTACATGAGCAAAACCTATATTTTTTTTTGAAAAATGTACTAACAAAGTTGGGTTTTGGGCAGAAATGGATAAGATGGGTTATAGAATTAGTGTCTAAAGTTTCTTAAAATCTTAATAAATGGTTTCCCTAGAAATAGTTCCAGACTTGAAAGGGGGTTAAGACAAGGAGATCCCCTATCCCCCTACTTATTTCTTTTCTGTTTAGAAGTCCTATCAACCTACCTAACTCATCTAGTAACGCAAGGGAAAATATCTGGAATTAAAATCTCAAGTAATTGTCCAAAAGTATCTCATCTTTTTTTTTTGTAGAAGACAACTATATTTTTTCCAAAGATGATCTTGTAGAGGGGTAGTCTCTATTGGAAGCAATCAGTCTCTATGAAAGAGTTTTAGGTCAATGGGTAAACTATGCAAAAGTTAGATTTTTTTTAATAGGAATATGCATCCCAAATTGCAAAAAATAGTGGCAAAATCTCTCAAAATGAAAAAGGTTGACCATCCCTCAATTTACTTAGGGCATCCAAATAGGAAAATAAAAAAAAAAACCATGTTTAATCACTTTCTTGAAAAGTGTGGAAAACAAGCTCTCAAAGTGGTAGAGCCTCTTGATCTCACAAGTTGGAAAGGAAACCTTGCTAAAGATAGTGGTGGCAGCCATCGCTACTTATGCTATGTCATACTTTTTGATTTCAAAAAGAGTTTGCAATGACTTAAAAAAACTCCAAAGAAAATTTTGGTGGGAAAAATAAAAAAACATAGGAAAACTCACTACTCTCAATGGTCGGGTCCTAAGTAGGAACAAATGGGATGGAGGGCTATGCTTTTAGAATCCTTATTGCTTTAACTTTGATCTCCTTGCAAAACAAGCTTAGAGGCTTATTTTAGGGGAAGAAAACTTGTGGGTAAACATTATAAAGGCAAAGTACCTCAAAGGGAAGATTTTCCTTTCCTCAAACCACCAAAAAATAGGGTCTTAGGGTTGGCAAAGTTTATTGGCTACAAGAGACATCTTGAGGGAGGGATTTTTTTGGGTTGTGAATTCAGGCACAAAAGCCAAATTTTGGGGGGATCCTTGGCTCCTATAAGTTCTAGGCTTTAGGATAATGGGCCTTAAACCAAGCTTGACATGGATTAAGGATTTAATGTTATAGGGGAAAAGGAAGTGGAATGCAAGACTCGTGAAGGAAAATTTTGATGTGCAAACTACAAATAACATTCTAAGTATTAGATTGGCTACTGGTCCTTGGGAGGATAAATTGTTGTGGAATCTGACCTCAAATGGGAGTTTCTCTGTTAAATGTGCCTATTTTGTAACAAAAAGACTCTGACTGGAGGGCTGCTCCTCAATGACAAACAAAGTGGCTAGGACTACTTTAAATAAATCCCAATGGAAAGAAATTTGGAAAGCTAAAATTGATCCAAAGATAAAAAAAATGTGTGGAGATGTTGTATAAGTGCTATAGCAGTTAAAGAAAAACCTTTTCAAAAGAGGTTTAGCTGAAAATGATGTGTGCTTGATTTGTAATAAAGCTTCAAAATATATCATGTATTGCTTGTTCCTTTATAGTTTTGCCAAAGCAATTTGGTTTGGGAGCCCTTTGGTTTGTCATTGGTTTCATCTTAGAAAGATATGGTCCATCTAGGTAATTGTTTAGGTCTATCAAAATGGAATTTTGATGTTTTTGCGGCATAGATTTGTGTTGGGATTCACTAGTTGACTGTTTTCTAGTGATCTTGAGGTGATGAATATGTTGGATTTGATTTTGGAGAAGTTGGAATTTGACTATCACATATATCGGGCCCATTAGAAAGGAAGTTGGCGTGATGAACGATGGATCTTTGGAGTTTAATTATGAAAATTGATGTGTAACTAAGTTGTAGTTTTCCAAGTCTGGGGGTGATGTTTAATTGGATGTTGATATTAATCTCAAGGTTCTTATTTGTCTTATGGATTGTATCAAAGGAGAGTACAATGATGTACGGTGAAGGGACTGAGCAAAAATTGGGTGTTGACAAGGGGTAGGGAAAAATAAAAGAAGAAAGAGAGGAAAGGGAAACAAATGAGGGAGAATTTTCAATGGTTTGTATTATCTTTTTGTGAGAGGAATTACTTCCTTTGTTTTATTTTATGTAATGAGAATATCTTACTAATTTGCTAATTCTGTGTTGCACTATCCTTTTTAATTTCTTTTTTTGGAGGTTTTCCTAAAGGAACATTGCTTTAAATTTTAGGGGAGTTAATGAGGATGTTTTTTACTAGAACCTATTTATGAATTCTTTTATATGCTCTTCGTTGCAGTTAAGGCTTGCTTTATCATATTAGCTCTGTCACTCAACTGGTGATCTTCTTTACCTCACCTTTATTCTATTGTTTCTATTGTCCTTAATTTCATTTAGGGTTTTGACTTTGGCTCTGATATCTTAATTTTTGTATTCTTCTTTTCCTCTAACTCCACCCTATGAGCCAAATAGTTTTACCCTTCTTTAGTATCTCGTGTTTTTCATTGTTTATTGTTTTCCTTTTACATTTTTCCAAACTATGAAATGAATGCATATTTATCTTGCATTGATCTTTATTTGGATTATAGGGTAGGATTCTTATGGAGTTTAATGCTATCATTAACTACTAGGTTTTAAAACATTAACAAGTAGATGTAATTATTTATGCTCACTTAATAGAAAACATATTAAAGTAGAAGTTGCTTATATGTTTTCTTGAAATGTTTTTATGTATATATTTTTTTTGTTTGTATGTAACTTAGACAGTTTGCATACTTTTCATCCAAATGTTTGTCATCCTAGGTGTTGCCAGTGATCATAGAGTTGATATTTAGGTTGAGTAATAGAATCTTTATTTATACTTGTCGTCAGCCTACTGTCACTCTAAAATATTTACACTAGGTTGCTATAGCACATTTTTAGACCTTTTTGGCTGAAATCCACTTTGATCGTTGATACTTGGTATTTGGTGATTTATGCAAATGGTCTATTGGGTGTGTACATTGATTGTTCTCTTCTTCTTTGTATTGCTTATACACTGAAATTCTAAAGCAATTTTGTCAATATCTACTTGGTTACATGAAAGCATATAATGTTAACCATTTTCAAAACATGGTTACATGATTCCTAATCTATACATATGTGTGTGTGTGTGTGTGTGTGTGTGTTTCTTTGACTAATGCAGGTTTCTTATGCGCCATTAAAATAAATCTTTCTCTGTGTATGACTTCTAATGTGCAAGGTTTTGTCATAGTATGGTAGCCTGTTACCCTTTTATGTGGATATGGTGAAGTCCAATAAGTAACAATGAGGAGTGAAGAGTTTGGCTTCCATTGATGGATTTCTTATTAGGAAGTCTTGTTTACTAAAGGGTGCATTGGTATAATGCTAGAAGTTGGAGTTTTCTTTGATATGTTTTGATTTCATTTATTTATTTATTTATGATTTCTGTAAAGTTGTTGAAAGTAATGAATAGTTTCAGCCTTTACTTATATTATGCTCCTTCCCCCCTCCCTTTCCCTCCCTTGGCATCTTTGTTGCTCTCAATTTTCTACCCCTAGATGATGTCTAATCTACTCCTTTTGCAATTTTCTAAATTTAT